CCCTTTGGACCTTAATGTAGACAAATTTAAAAAACGGGACCCTAAATTAAAAATCTAAAAACACAGTTAGATTTGGCATATCAAAGAACCCCAATAATTCAATTTTTGATGAAATCAAACAAAGTTTAATTTTGGACCCTTTTGACCTCAATATGAACCAATTTGATAGCGGGCCCACAAATAAAAAATCTAAATACATGGTAAGATTCAGCATATCAAAGAACCCCATATATTCAATTTTTGTTGAAATCAAACAAAGTTTAATTTTGGACCCCAATTTGGACCATCTTGAAAACTGGGCCAAAAATCTAAAATCTAAATACATGTTTAGATTCAGCATATCAAAGAACCCCATATATTCAATTTTTGTTGAAATCAAACAAAGTTTAATTTTGGACCCCAACTTGGACAAACTTGAAAACTGGTCCCATAATCAAAAATCTAAACACATGTTTAGATTCAGCATATCAAAGAACCCCAAAAATTCAATTTTTGTTAAAATCAAACTAAGTTTAATTTTGGACCCTTTGGACCTTAATGTAGACCAATTTAAAAAACAGGACCCAAAATTAAAAATCTAAATACACGGTTAGATTTGGCATATCAAAGAACCCCAAAAATTCAATTTTTGATGAAATCAAACAAAGTTTAATTTTGGACCCTTTTGACCTCAATATGAACCAATTTGATAGCGGGCCCACAAATAAAAAATCTAAATACATGGTAAGATTCAGCATATCAAAGAACCCCATATATTCAATTTTTGTTGAAATCAAACAAAGTTTAATTTTGGACCCCAATTTGGACCAACTTGAAAACTGGGCCAAAAATCTAAAATCTAAATACATGTTTAGATTCAGCATATCAAAGAACCCCATATATTCAATTTTTGTTGAAATCAAACAAAGTTTAATTTTGGACCCCAACTTGGACCAACTTGAAAACTGGGCCCATAATCAAAAATCTAAACACATGTTTAGATTCAGCATATCAAAGAACCCTAAGAATTCAATTTTTGTTAAAATCAAACTAAGTTTAATTTTGGACCCTTTGGACCTTAATGTAGACCAATTTAAAAAACAGGACCCAAAATTAAAAATCTAAATACACGGTTAGATTCGGCATATCAAAGAACCCCAATAATTCAATTTTTGATGAAATCAAACAAAGTTTAATTTTGGACCCTTTGGACCTCAATGTGGACCAATTTAAAAACGGGCCCAAAATCCAAAAACTTAATACACGGTTATAACGATTCAGCATATTAAAGAACCCCAAGAATTCAAGAATAAAACCCCATTGAAATTGATCAAGAAATAAGCAATTTATACGAAGTATCTTCTTTTGCACAATACTGTGCAATTGAATATTTCTTGCTATTGCGCAATACTGTACAATTGACAATTTCTTGCTATTGCGCAATATTGTGCTATTGGATATTTCTTGCTATTGCGCAATACTGTTAAATTGAAGATTTCTTGCTATTGCGCAATACTGTGCAATTGAAGATTTCTTGCTATTGTGCAATACTGTGCAATTGAAAATTTCTTGCTATTGCACAATACTTATTATATAATAATTTACACATCCTGTTTGGTGTGTATCTCCTACCATATCATTATTATTTGCTTTTAAATATAAATCAGAAATAACCAACTTAAAATGGAAAATTTAAAAAGAAAAAAAAAAGGAAAAAAAGAAAAAAAAAAAAATCCCCCCCCCCAAATTTTTTGAACCCCCTTATGATTCATCACCCCCAAACTCAATCCCAGCCTTCCCTTTGTGGTATGGTACCTTGCAGTACAATTTCAGAGAGATCCATACACTTGAACACAAGTTATTGTCTGGAAACTAGAAAAATGCTTATTTTTGGCCCCTTTTTGGCCCCCAATTCCTAAACGTTTCGGGCAATTACCCCCAAACTCAATTCCAGCTTTCCCTTTGTGATATGGAACCTTGTAGTACAATTTCAGAAATATCCAAACACTTACACACAAGTTATTGTCATGAAACTAGAAAAATGCTTGTTTTTTGCCCCTTTTTTGGCCCCTAATTCCTAAAATTTTGAGGCAATTACCCCCAAAATCAATTACAGCCTTCCCTTTGTGATATGGAAGCTTGTGGTACAATGTCAGAGAGATCCATACACTTACACACAAGTTATTGTCTGAAAGTTACAAAAATGCTTATTTTTGGCCCCTTTTTGGCCCCTAATTCCTTAACTGTTGGTACCATAACCCCCAAAATCAATCCCAACCTTCCTTTTGTGGTATTGAACCTTATGGTGAAATTTCATGGAGATCCATTCACTTAAACTAAAGTTAGAGTGCGAAAACCAATGTGTCTTCGGACGACGCCGGACGACGACGACGACGACGACGACGACGACGACGCCAACGTCATACCAATATACGACCAAAAAATTTTTAATTTTTGCGGTCGTATAAAAACGTGAGGCATACGTCGTTCACATGAGAAAATTACCGAACCGAATATGGAAGATGCAGGTGATACAGTTTCACCCGAGGAGAAGGATGAGGACGAGGAAGAGCTTATTAAAAACTTTTTAGTTATTAAATAGTTTAAATTTGAATTGTTATATGATTACAAAGGTTTTAGTTTATGATTATTTGATAACTAAATAAAATAAGTTTTTGAATACCAAAGCAAATATTTAATGATTATGTGATTATGTTGGGAAAAATTTGGTGATTATGCTATTACTGGTACCTCCCCGTCAGCCATGAGGGGCCTCGTTTGTTTTTCGATTTGTCACAGACGGATGGACAAACAGACAGACGACTGGATGCACAAAGTCGTTACTGTTGGATGCTCACAAAAGTCTAAAGAGGTCTTTAAAACCAATGTATTGGTTACATTATTTCTATCATGTTTTGAAAAATTTATAAAAACATTTCTTTCAAAAGAATATTCGTGATATCAATAAGTTCATCTGCCTCTTAAGCAGGAAGAATGTCCAACTCTTTACCTCTTCTACTTGATCTTCTAGCAATAAACACAATGCTGCTGAATTCATTTCCTTTATTACTTTCAATAATTTCGCATAGTAGTGTTGATACAACTTCATGTTTTGATAAACGTATTAATTTCATATATAAAAAGCCACGCAATAACATCATTGTCAAATAGCCACTCGTCTACGAGATATTGTTGCAATTTCATTCGGGCGATTGTTTTCTGTACATTTTATTTCATTCCATTTGCTTTCGCAAAAAGTCCTAAACATGTAGACATTCTGTAAAGAAAGAGAAATATATTGGCTTGCCATACCGGGGATGACGTTTTCAGTTTTTGACCTATTGAAGATGTGTGCATGTTGCCAACTGGAGTAGAAATCAGACTTGTAAACGCATTATGTTCGTAATATGCAAAATGAAAGCAAAACAAATAAACCCAAATCAACACTTTATTGATATAAATGTATCGGATTGAAACAAATAATGATAGATTATAGGAGGGATTTGTTTATTTCCGTCATCATGGTATTGACATATGCACCACTGCACTTGTTAGTTGTTCAAAATATTTTGTGTCCGCATTTCGGCTATCATATTATTTTCGGTCGTGAAAATGCGGACACTTGCTTATTCCTATTTTGTAATCAAAATTTAGACAAATCAGTAAAAATAATTTAAAGTAATGTTTCCTTGCATAAAATACGCAATGCCTATTGCTTTTCAACACATAAACTGCCATTCTTACATGAACAACTGTGTATTGAATGTGACACGCTGACTTTGGACCTTTTTCAAAATTTCCCGGTTTTCAAACTTGTTGACAAAAGCTATTTATAGCATGCAATTTCAATCAGATGACACAAAAGTAAATCGTAAGCAATAGACATGATAACCTTATTGCAACAAAATAGAGATTTAATAGTAAACAAAAAACCTTATTTCTTATATCTATTTTATTTCAATTTTTCATAATTTTATTGAAAAGTGAGATATTCGTTTTCCGTCCGCATATCGGCGCTGTCCGCAATTAGGCGATTTTCCCCTATAGAGAGGAATATTTTTATTAATTTTTTTCCTCATTTTTGTTGAGCCTGCGATTAACAGCAAAAGTAGGCGAGACACTGGGTTCCGCGGAACCCTTACAAATTTTTACTATTAAAAGTTTCTCTCTATCTATTATACTTTTCAAGATAATAAGCAATAGTGGAAAAAAATGGTATCATTTAAGGTCAATTTCTCCCATAAGAAGTCGTCTGACAGTTTTGAAGTAAATAGATAGTAAATAGATCTCAACATTATCAACATTTCTACGTCATCAAATTTCCTCTATCAATAGCTGTTTCAAGATAATTTTTGAGATGAAGAACAGCAATAAAAGCACTGTTCCTTTGCTTTTTGTTTTTGTCTTTTTTTTGCTGTGCATGTACTGATTTTGTGTCATGGATGGATACCCCATATCCTTTGTTTTTCTATAAAACTTGCATTTTACCCTCATGTTCTATTTTTAGCCATGTCAGCCAACTACATACCCCAATGATGACTGTATGACTGGCCAAATTGGTTTCAATTGGCCCAGTAGTTTCAGAGGAGAAGATTTTTGTAAAAGATAATGGACTACAGACACCACATGATGAGAATAGCTCAACTGACCCTTCTGGTCAGGTGACCTAAAAAGACTTTTTTATTGTCCATAATGTTACATCACTCATTTAATAGCATCACATTAGTCTTTTTGTGTTGTTGAGTTTCTGTCTCATTTATGTATAAACCAATAATTTTATTAATATTATGCTGACAAAAACCATAAACATTCCAAGATTACAATAAGATCATGATATTCTACAGGAAGAAGTCGCTATATATTGGTCAGCAAGTTATTTTGATCATCTTATCTGCCAGTGGTTTAAATATCACTATCTATACCAGGTTTTTAATGAGAACCTTTACTTTTTGATCTAAAGAATGATCAAAATATACTCTATGGAGGAAATAAGTAAGTTTATTTTGTTTTTCTATCCCTACCTTTTGTACCAATCCATACTTGGTCTAATTCTAATTTAAATGTGAGTCGAACTTTTCCTCCAGATTTATTGCACATTCCAGCTACGGGTGTTGGTGGAAGTGGTTCTTTTATATTTTTCACTCCTGGCAATGCATCATCGGGCTTCCCATATTTGTCTAATACTTTCTTATGTTCCTGAAATGTTTGACAGATTCACACTTGTATTAATTTTTTTTAAAAAAGTGCTTGTTTGCAAACATCATGAGGCCATTCAGCAAAAAATAGAGGTGGGTCCTATTAAAGACTTTGAATAAGGGATAAGTGTATTGTTGTTGTGCACATTGTTTGATGTAAAGACTTTCATTTTCTTACTATTGAAGGTCAATTCTCATGATTTTTTCTTAACTTTAATAGATGCGGGTCTTAAGGAAGACATATGTTGCCTGCAAAGCCTGGGGAAAAAAATCTGCATATCGGATATTCTGTAAAATCAACTGCCCCAAATTTTCTGATCTCTACATTTTGATATCATCTGTGAAATCGTTATTCCATAACTGTCAACCAACTCATGATGGCGTCCGTAAAATTTACGAAGGGATGATTTCAACTTCACCATTTGGAACTCTTGGTTTAATAGCTTCCTTGTGAGCAGCAATCCTCTATCAAAGAAATCATGATAGGAAATACAAGCCCAGGAATATCGTATCAATTGAGAGATATATACTCCGTAAGTTCACAATTGGGAAGCTGATATCATCTCTTTTGTTGTAAAGTTTTGTTTCAACCGACCCTCATTGTCAATTTCTAGATGTAAGTCAAGATATGAGGCAGACTGTATCTGTAGTATCCTTTATCTCTAGTTCGATGGGATAGATTCGTTCAACATAGTGACCAAATTTTGTATTATTTAGTGAGAGAACATCATCTATATAGCGGAACGTAAAGTTAAAGGATATTGCTAACTGCATTTCTCTCTCCCCTTAATATGAACTACATATTTGGACAGAGAAAGAGAATCACAAAGGAGATTGAACAGTTCTCTATAACCAATAGAACATGCATCTACAGAAAAACATTTTATTATTAAATATGACATTTTCAAATCCAGTGACCTATATCTATTTGTGAGTCTGGAAACAATATATTTGTAACAGTATTGGATAATTAATAATCAGTAAACCATTACCATGAGAAATAAATAGAGAATGTGTCCATGGGACACAGATGATGCCCCTGCTTGCATATAAAGTTATAAAGGGACATAACTCCAAAACGGTAAAAAAGACGCCACCCAAATTCGAACTTGATTTGTTTTTTTTTAAATTGTGGTAACAAGCAATGTGTATAAATTTCATAACATTTGGTTGATGCAAACTAAAGTTAGAGATCAGAAACCAATTTTGGGATGTACATATGTAACTACCAACTGTCAAGGGTAACACTTAATGCCCCGTCCGCTGTGGCTGGGGCATAAAAACCCAAGTCTCAAACTGCTGGTTCAAAATAATCCAAGTTACTCTAGAAAATGTCCTTTAAAGTTTATGAGCCACACCAAGATGAATTTTTTGTTTTTTGCTAGAGCAATTTTTCGTAAGGTGATGTAAAGATGCCTGTTTGCATTAATTAATCTGTTTTTTTAAAGCTTGAAATAGTCTTAACCTTCAAAACATACTACATTCAACTTTATGATTGATTATTGGTGTTTATCACCACCTTCAGTACTATTGGCTATACATGCAGTTTTTATTGGTGGAGGGCCTCAATATTACGATTAGCAAATAAAACATTTTCTCACTAAACAACATGAACAGACAATGTTTTATATTGTGTGTAATACCAAGCTACATACGATGCAATTGTTTTTAATTAACCGTTTTGTCTTACTTTTAACTTTGATAATGGTTCTTTAGAACTTGTTGACGACGTTGTTGCTTCTTTTATTTCTTTTTCTGACGGCTTACTAACTGATAACACATCATTTAACGTTGATCCTACTACCATTACTTTTGCACCATTGGTTACTTTAAGATCATTTAGTGTTGACTCATCTTTAGCTAACCCTGAAAGTAAATACGGAAATTTGACATATAGGTCTACATTACTGAGATTTTACTAATAGCTATAAAGAGTAAAATTTCATAAGTTCCTAAAAAATAACAACTGATCATCTTCTATAATATTGTGTACTTGTTATTATTCTTTGGATACCAGTTTCGTGTTATTCATTAGTACAGGTGAACCACAAATTTAAATGTTCAACAAACTACACATTTTCTATAGGCTTGTATGCAGACTTTGGCAATACCACAAAATAAAATATCCACTAAAATGCAAGTTTTCCTCAATCCAAGCAAATTCATACCAACGAAAAAAAATGTATCCACAGTAGCTAGCAAAAGTACATATATACGTGTTCACTTTTTAATACAGATTTTTTTTATATCGATCACAAAATACAGAGTCAGTTTTGGTGGTTCTCTCTGGGCACTCCAGCTTTCTCCAACAATAAAAAACTGACTGCTACGAAATAGCCAATAGCGCTGAAACTGGTGTTAAACACCAAATAATCAATCAATCAAAAATACTGATAAAAAAATACAAAAAACGCCATAGAAATATAACATTTTGTAAAATAAATAATCGTCAAATGTAGGATCACTAATTTTTTTAGAACAAATCTAATCCTCTTTGTTTCAATAACAAATCAATGGTCACCGCAGGCTGTTGAAGGGTGGTTCTATTGAGTCTTCCATCCTCAATGTTTTAGTTGGTACTACTCATCTTGAATTTTGTTTATACTTAAAAGTTCTATAACAGACGTTCAAATTATTTGTTTTGCTGGAACAATAGGTTTGTCATATTTTTAATCTTGGTAGAACCTGATGAAATGTGTTGGACGACAAACAATGACGGATGACAAATGAAGGATGCCAAGTGATGATAAATATATTAAACTATATCAACCATTTGTGTCAAATCAGTTAAAAATGCAGTACTTTACCTTTGAACATAATTTTCTGCATTGCTGATGGTACACCTGAAAATATATCATCTTTTTAAAAATGAAACTTCAATTGGAAAACACATTTTCAAATTTCTCATCATCTGACATTTCTTTCAGAGTATGAAAACAGTTTAATTGAAATTTGGTTAGACCATTATATTTTTTTTTGTTCAAGACATTTTAGTTTTCAATACGTCTTTTGTTTTTATTTATTCCTTCTCATCAGTCAGAATCTAAAAAATGAAATAACATCTTGCTATATTGCGACTAATATATCTAAAAAATATTAAAGCTCAAAAGCAGACTGACTGTAATACGTGACTAAAACATGAATTTCAATTTCTGACTACTTGCAAAACTTCAGGTCAATTATATTCAATGAATACAAAAACAACATAAAATTAATACAAGATATAAAACTGCAATTCCATGGCCTGCAACAAATAGACGTCTTTCGACAAACAATTTAATTATTCTTATGGTTAATTCTGCTTTAAAATTTACTACTTTTAGCATATGTTTAGAAAACTAACAATTAACTAGACCTCTCTTTGGGGTTTTTAACGACCTTGACTACCCATTACTCACCTGTCAGTGTTTCAATATGAGATTTTAATTTAGCAATAGTTTCATCAACTGGAAATGTTACATCATATTTTTGTTTGTTAAATATTACTTTGAAGTCTACTTTCTGTCTTGTGTCGATTGGACTGTCAGATTCATTAGTTGTTACATCTGAGAAAACAAAAACAATGAAATTAATAATGAGGATGTGCTTCTGATTGGTATTTTCTGTATGCATGTTAGAAAAATGATTGACACTTACAAAGGCTATTTGTGAATAATCATGTTAAAATCCCAAGCACAAGAAAAATATTCTACATGAATACATGGATATTTGCATGAATTACAATGCATTCATGTATGTTAATTACACCCATAATATTCCGTTTAAAACCCCTTTTCATGACCTCTTTTTCTACAGTGTACAACTGTGATCACTCTGCACATAAAAAAAATCACAGTTACAAAATATGGAAATATTTTCATTAAAAAATGATGAAGTGTTTGCTTTTATGAAGACAAATCTTTTCAATTTTCTTCTATAAGATCCTGTTTCCCCAGTAATTCAAAATTTATGCAATAAGCATTCAATCAACCAGTCATAAGAATAAGGGTAAAATATATGAAAGCCAATTAGTCATACTCTGATTAGTCAATATTATTGAATGATCTATTATTAGAAGGTGGAAAACCAGGGACTACTAAAATATAAGTGAATATGTCAATGTGGTTAATGAACCCTCATTTTAATCATTGATTAGAGGGCAATAGAAGCAAAACATTGTTGAGAGATTCTGTAATTCTTTAATTTCTTAGTTTGAAAAATTGAGAAAGTTTTTACTTACATTGAAACTGTTTGTTATCTGAATGTAACATTAACTTTCACTTGTTTTTGGCAATCAAACCCCCCAAAACAGAAAACCACAATTGCAGATTGTCTGATGTACAATTACCTGATAATATTATTAATCTTATTTCTCAATAGACCATTTTCATAAAACCAACTTTCGACTTCGGAGTATATAATTTTTCAACAGGTTACCTATTTTGTGATAGGACATTTTAGGACTTGGTAAACTAAGAGCTACTAAAAGTAAAAATAAGTTACAATCAGTGCAATTTGGGGAAAAAAACTAGTTTTCCGATGATTTTGATGTGTAAATTAAAGAAAACATAGAACAGATAGTTTTTTCCCAAATTGCTCTGATTGAAGACTTAATTTTACTTCTTTTAATTGCTCTTACTTGACTGATTACCAGAATGTCCTACCACAGAGTAGATAACCTTTAAAAAAATTATAAACTTCGGAGTCATAAGTCAGTAACAAGAAATAAATGTGGATAGTGTCCACATGTGGACACAGATGATGCCCCCGCTTGCATAGTATATAGTTATAAAGGGACATAACTGAAGAACGGTAAAAGTGACGCTACCCAAATTTGAACTTGATCTGAGTTTTGTGGTAATAAGCATTGTGTGTAAGTCTCATAACATTTGGTTGAGGTTAACTTTAATAAGTACAGAACAGAAACTAAAAATTCAGCAATTTTTCTATTTGTAAACACGCATAACTCTAGAACAGTTGTGTATAAGTTTTATAACATTTGGTTGAGACAAACTAAAGTTAGAGAACTGAAACTAAAAATTCAGCAATTTTTATGTTTATAAAGGGACATAACTCAAGAATGGTAAAAGTGTCGCCACCAAATTTCGTACTTAATCTGTATTATGTAGTAATAAGCATTGTGTATAAGTTTCATAACATTTGGTTGAGGCAAACTAAAGTTAGAAAACGGAAACAAAAAATTTGTACTTGATCTTAGTTTTGTGGTAATGAATATTGTGTATAGGTTTCATAATGTTTGGTTGGGGCAAACTTATGTTACAGAATGGAAACTAAAAATTTTGCAATCTTTCAATTTATAAAGGGACATAACTCAATAATGGTTAAAGTGACACTACCCAAATTCAACTTGATCTGTGTTTTATCAGTGGAAGTCAAAATTAAACATTGCATTGTATAAAACATTGATTGTAGTTGATTCAACTATAATCATGGACAAAGGAAGATAACTCCAATTTTAAAAATAACTTGATATTTAGAAGAAAATAAAAATTTTGCAATTTTTCCATTTATAAAGGGGCATAACTCTAGAACAGTAAAAGTGACGCCACCAAAATTCAAACTTGATCTGTGTTTTGTGGTAATAAGCATTGTTTATAAGTTTTATAACGTTTGGTTGAGGCAAACTTCAGTTAAAGAACGGAAACTAAATATTTTGCAATTTTTCCATTTATAAAGGGGCATAACTCTAGAACATTTAAAGTGATGCCACCAAAATTCAAACTTGATCAGTGTTTTGTGGTAATAAGCATTGTGTATAAGTTTCATAACATTTGGTTGAGGCAAACTTAAGTTAGAGAACAGAAACTAAAAATTTTGCAATTTTTCCATTTATAAAGGGCATAACTCTAGAACGGTTACAGTGACGCCACCAAAATTCAACTTGATCTGTGTTTTGTTGTAATAAGCATTGTGTATAAGTTTCATAGCATTTGGTTGAGGCAAACTCAAGTTAGAGAACGGAAACCAATTTTGGGACGTACATACAGACGGACAAGGGTAAAACTTTATGCCCCCTCCGCTACGGCAAGGGCATAAATAGTCAATTCATACCTGTATTTTGGGAACAGTTATTATTATCTTTAGATGATCCTCCAGAATCTTCTGATTTTTCTTTGTTTTCTAATTCTTTATTCTGTAGATCTGTAGTTGCAACTTCGATGTCTTGCACTATATAAAATATAATGAATAAAAATTAGGATTTATAGTGCAGTTGTATAAGTTGTTTGTTGGTATTGGCTTGATTGACGGGGCTAGAACAACTTGGGGCCGAAAAACACTTGTTAAAATGGTTTAATACAGCTTTTATTGATAATTTAGACTATGATTTTAAGATACAATGCATGTGTCACTTTTACTCGATTAAAATACAATTCAACTTCAGCATGTTCAGGAATACGATTTTTGTGTCTTGTATGCAAGTTCTTTGCATAACAATATGGCTGATGTAATTATTCAAAAGGTAGCTTTATACTCTACATTGATTAATAACAAAGAACTGCAGTACTGAAATTGTTTATATCTTTTCCTTTATGGTGTTTTACACAAAGTAGAATTTTCTTACTTTTGTAGTTTGAAAATAAAATATTGAATTTGTGTTTTCTTTTGAAAAGAATTCATATTTACAAATTCTACTCAAGAAAATCTGATATAACCATCAGCATTAACATTAGCAACATTAATTGTATTTGTTTGATATCTGTACATTTATATTTTGGTTCCTATCATGCCTATAGCTCCAAAATTATTTTTTTTAATTCTTCTCCGGGCAGCTCCAATATAAAAATGTATTTTTATTTGGATTTTATTATCTTCTTTTTTCCATAAACCGCTAATCCACCTCTTTTTCATAACTCTTATTTTTACAGCTGGTCACTGGTCATAAAGCTATCAAATGATTCTATTGGTTAACCACAAAGTACTGCCCACCTCAGTCAGACACGTGCATTTGTTTATAAAACTAATTATCATCAAAGCTCATTAACAGTGCAAGATATGGAAACTTATTTTTCTTCTGTGGTTTGTTATATTAAGAAGTAACAAAAATAGCGGAGAATGAAATTTTGATAAAATTTAGTAGCTTTTGTAGTGTGCTACAATGTACCTAAAACCATATAAAATAGAGGTTTTAGATAATATCAATCATTTATCAGGTGTTTAAAAAGTTTTGGGGTATTCAAATTGATTGATTGGTGCTGCCTCAGCACAAAAGGCTGTATTGCGGCGAGCCAGATATAGTGTTCCCACATGAAACTGTAATTACTAAACAAATTTCTGGTATGTTGGCGAAAAGTTTGACCCATTTGGTTTTCTGATTACACCAAAAAGAATAGACCTTATTTTGGAAAATGTGACACATTACTAGAGATTTCTCATATGATCTCAACATCAGTGTTCCAGCTTGATCGTTTTCACAGGGCGGTTCGCCCGGCCTTTCCTGACTGACGCCCTGAGCCCTTTTTAAGATGCCCTACCCTTTTTCGCAAGTCCATGCCTTTATTGTCTTATTATTTTGATGAAAATACTATAATTTTACCTGTCTTCATGTTTTTAACAAGTTTATGACCCTCAGCTAATTAACATTTACAGCAGGTGTTATAAGTTTTGATTACAGGTAATCCACTTATTGCCATGGATGGGTCACTAATCCGTTAATTAATAAACCTCATAACTGACCATTATATATTTTTCCCAGTAAAATCGGTCAGTCGACATTTCAATTTCATTATTTCTCAAACAACCACAATTTGCAGTTCATTTATCCATAGATGTTTTCGTAGTTTCGTCAATTGAACAAAATTCAAATTGTTTACCCCATGACAGTTCGAATTTTAATGTAAAAATTTCTCAATCACTTTTTGCAGATTGTTTGACGTAGTTTCGTCACATTTTCGATTAAAAAGATAAAACTTTATTCAAAACGTTCAAAAATATTTTCACAAGTCACACAGATGCTTTATTTATCATATCCTCCGCATGCATGAAAGTATTCTTATAAATTTAGTAGACACGAAAACGTAAAATACAAAATCGTTAAGTATCAAATTAAACGAGAAAGACAAATATATTTCTTACTGAGCAACTTAATTAAAAAAATGATAATTTTCTGCCTTTTTGTTAAACACGAACCAATCCGTAGATGAATCGGGATTCATTCTGAATTTATTAACCTCTTGTTACTTCCCGTTTAAAAATTGGAAGGTCACTTAAACGTGATCTTTCCTTGAAAAGTATAAAATATACAGTCATTAAAATCGTTCCAAGGTAATGAAAATGAATTCCAAATATCGATTTAAATGGTTTTCTGGGATAATGATTATGCAGTGAAATAGTTGTTACAATTTCATTTATGCTCTGTTTTTAAAAAGAGGAACCCAACTTTTGTTGATCAGGAATGTCCCCTGAAAATAACTGAAGTGAAATTGTGAACTTGATTTCCGGATCCTTGTTCTTATCTTCATATTTAAGCAGCATGCCTAAGGCCTTCAAAGATCCTGGTCCTTGAAGGACTTAGGCATATGTATAGTTAGTAATATACATGTATGTCCTTGGTCCCTTACTGTTACCCAAAATAAGGTTGATTTTCATCTCATGAAAAAGTGACTAATTAAAGCCCTAGCTGAAACCCATCTGTTTACATGATAAAAGACAATGTTTGTCATGCCCTTTTTGAATTATCAATCAGCATGCTAAAGTGCCCTTTTATGATTGGCTGCCTGCCCTTTTGAAATCCTAACTGGAACACTGAACATTTTACGGGAACATCTATGATGGCTAGTAATTATATATAATAGCAATAAGGAGTAATACAATAGCAATGCAATAGTTACAGTCTTCTTCCTCTTTCACAGGTAAAACCTTCAAAGTGTATCAAAGTGAACTACTTAAGACCTTATTGCTATTTGTTGGACATTACCAGACATAACACCAATTCTCAGAGGCGGATCTAGGGGGTGCCCTGGCCCCCCTTTTGGAGCTTCATTTATGATTAATCAAGACTTTTTACCGGTTCTACTACAAATTTTGTCTAGTTTGGGGCTAGCGGGCCCTCCCTTTTTCAAAAAACTGAATCTGCATCTGATTCTAGTAAAACTTTGATGTTATTACTAATATTAGAGAAAATGTCTGACACCACAAAAAAATGGTTGACATATGACATCAATAATTCAAACTTCACAATTCTTGGGCCATGTGTTGCAGATTCCAAATAGCTTAAATGTCTATGATCCAGTTCTAAAATGTACACAAAGAGACCAAGTTTCTCTTCTGCCATACTGTAAATTAATATTATTTTCACAGTGCAAAAAATAATATTCTGTTGTTTCCTTTTCCTATATGAGATTTTGTTATTTTCCACACGCTTGTAAATTAGTTTTTGTTCCCATTTTAATTGAATTGACCATAACTTAGATCGAAAGTTTAACTTAAGCGAAAATTCGGGAAAACTGAAAATGACAAGGCATAAAAAATTAGGCGAATTTTAATTTTATTGTATATTTTAAAGCTAAATGTTTCGGGAAAAGGTCGCAATATTGAAACAAGTGTTTTAAATAGTAAATCATCACAAACAATCAAATGATGATCATGATTTTTTATCATTTTACCATTTTTTGAAATTTCACTTTCTTCAGACGCCATTGTTAAAAGATGTTGACAAGGGGACGTAACTCACTACTGAAATAAAATATTTTCGTTACTCTATGTATACATAATTAATATCCACTGTAGGTTTCAGACGAGTGTTTTGACAAGGACGTATAACTAACTCTAATATATTGAGATTCCAAAAAGCTACGGAGCCTTGTTCTTCTTCTTCTTATGTCTGTAGATCTATATAGATACAAAATTTGGTGACTATGTTGAACGAATCTATCCCATCGAACTAGAGATAAAGGATACTACAGAGTACAGTTAAGTCTGTCTCTTATCTTGACTTACATCTAGAAATTGACAATGAGGGTCGGTTGAAAACAAAACTTTACGACAAAAGAGATGATTTCAGCTTCCCAATTGTGAACTTTCCATTTCTATGTAGCAACATTCCAGCAGCGCCTGCATACGGAGTATATATTTCCCAATTGATACGATATTCCCGGACTTGAATTTCCTATCATGATTTCCTTGATAGAGGATTACTGCTCACAAGGAAGCTATTAAACCAAGAGTTCCAAATGGTGAAGTTGAAATCATCCCTTCGTAAATTTTACGGACGCCATCACGAGTTGGTTGACCGTTATGGAATAGCCGTTTCACAGATGATAATTGATATGTTCCTTATGTCGTAACTACATTACCCTTCCCTTTTCACGAATGTGACCTACCGAATTAGACTATTTACCGGATTTGTAATAACATAAGCAACACGACGGGTGCCACATGTGGAGCAGGATCTGCTTACCCTTCCGAGATCACCCCCAGTTTTTGGTGGGGTTCGTGTTGCTTAGTCTTTAGTTTTCTATGTTATGTCATCTGTACTATTATTTGTCTATTTGTCTTTATTTTTTTGGCCATGGCGTTGTCAGTTTGTTTTCGATCTATGAGTTTGACTGTCCCTCTGGTATCTTTCGTCCCTCTCTCCTGTATAACATTCCGTTTAATAAGGAACACAAAGAAATGTCTTGTATCAGTAAAAGTATAATACACTATTTACAAGTTCTCCATACGTCCTCTCAGAGATATTATGTACATGTATACACGACACAAGTTTCACACACACATTTCCAAATTTGATAAATACTATTCTTTAAATTTTAAAACTGGTCTCGCCACCATAAGTAAAGTTTATAGAATAAAAAGAGGAGACTACCTTGCTATCACCTCCATCACTGTAGATTTACAAATATATATTCAGACAAATAATATATATGTTTTAAAGTAACTGATCACTAAGATATACTACACATTGGACGCTCTTGTCCCCCGAATAACTGCGGATGTTTTTCTGAGTCCTTTCAACAATTTTAATCTCTTAATATACAGCTGATGACATAATGCATTAGATAGTTTTGTAATGTCTGTTATTTGTTTGGTACTAAAGTTTTCAATGACATTTGAGCAGTCTAAAATAAGAAGCAAGATAGATTCTTGGTTTCCAAAAAGTTCAATCCATTTCCTTTCACCAATCAAATGAATAACCTCAACTTTTAATCGGTTGTAATATAACTGTTGACTCATGCAGATAAAGAGTTGTCAGTGGTTTTTCAAAGTTAAGCACTGGAGATAAGTCAAGCGCTGGAGATGTTAAGTCCAGCACCGGAGATCTAAATGCAAGCGTCGTAGATCTAAAGTCAATCACAGAAGATTTAAAGATAAGCTTTTGAGATATAAAGTCCAGCGCTGAAGATATATACACCAGCGTTGCAAATATAAAGCCTAGCTAGTGCTTGACTTTATATCTGCAGAGCTGGACTTGATATCTGCAGCACTGGACGTTACATCTTCAGCTTTGTACTTTAGATCTCTAGCGCTAAACAACTATATTTAGTTTAATATGAAATCAAACAGACCTATAATATTTGTCATCATACGATTGCACGTGCTTGTATGTTTATATTTATTTTTATGTTTTTATATGCTCATCGATAATCTTAGGAGGTCATTTTAATTGATTGATAATTAGATGGAGTTTAGTCTAAAATTCGCAAGAATTGCTGATACATTATAAAAAGTCCATGCTTTTTTAATTGTATCGTTTGGACTTTTTTGTAATTCGGATATAGGTTTTAGTAGGTTATAAATAACATAAAAGAATTTGGGTCAAATCCCTGAACAAGAATTTGGCAGTTAATTCGGTTGTAATTATGTTTAAATGTTATGTGTCAGTATTATTCTAACGACCAGGTGACTGTGACAAGCAATATCCATGAAAAAGATACTTGCAGAAAAAAATCACTACTGGAGGCGCTTGTAACCAATCACAGTAAAGGATTTCATCTTATGCAAATCATATATATGAATTAACAGTTTGTAAATATTTCCCTTTTTATTGTTATTTAAATTTAGTAAGTTTTTCTATACAAGGAACCAAACATTTCCCCTACAGGTATTGAAAAAAAACCTTGAAAACAAATAAACCGACGTAATTTCAGACACGCATTGTATTTATGAAGGAAGTAATGTAAATTTCACAAAAGATGTATATTTAGAGTTATAAATCCTTGACCAAAGTAATTTTGTCTATGAGCTCATCAACAGATGTTTAATACAAACCAAAGGCAAGTTATTCTAACTTATTCTTAGTTATATATCACATTTATTCAATTCATTAGGAAATTATTATAGTTCAAATAATTGACAAACAATATATTTCCCAAGGAAATGTGAGCTTTTGCCATCACTTGGCGTCCGTCGTCGTCCGTCGTCGTCGTCGTCCGTCCGGTGTAAAATAATTCAAACATCTTCTCCTCTGAAACTACTGAACTAATTATAACCAAATTTAAGCTGAATGATCCTTAGGGTATCCAGAATAAAATTGTGTTTTATTTTCTGTTTCGTCAAAAACATGGCCGCCATGGCTTAAAATAGAACATAGGGGTAATATGCATTTTTTGGTTTATATCTCAAAAAGTAAAGCATTTAGAGCAAATCTGACATGGGGGTAAAAATGTTCATAAGGACAATTTTCATAATTTGTTTATCATGTTTTCTAACTTTAAAAAATCTTCTCCTCTGAAACTACAGAACCAAATTAAACCAAACTTTAGCTGAATGATTCTTAGGTTATCTAGAATAAAGTTTATGTTTTATTTTCTGTTTCCTCAGAAAACATGGCCGCCATGGCTAAAAATAGAACATAGGGTAAAATGCAGCTTTTGACTTATATCTCAAAAACTAAAACATTTAGAGCAAATCAGACAAGTAGTTAAAGTATTCATTAGGTCAAGGTCTACCTGCCCTGAAATTATCAGCCAAATCGTTTTTACGGCAATATTGTTTACCGTGCCCGGAAATTTAGAAACGATCCTGGTAAACTTATCGATCCTTTAAATAAACATTCTAAAAGGTTACCAATGCAACACTGTAATTAGATCATTAAATATTGTTTTTATTGGTACTAATATTGTTTTGTTATCAGTAAATTAAAAGCAAACTAAATATTATTGTTATATACATATACACATTCATGGATCTACAATCTGTCGATACCTGTATCTTGGCATTGCACAATGTCATGTTTTTCTCTGACTGTTTATGACGTCTTTACACTAAATCCATTGGATGTTGGATGTGTACGGATTGATAATTTAGTCTTAGAAATTATATTTTTTATAAGTTGTTAGTGGCTTTGAACTAGCTGTCAGTAACTGGGAGTACTCTCAGATCTGTACTTAGTCTCTTTTTGTTGTTTGGATGTACAAGTACCCGGCCACGTCCACTTGTATTTGTATTATTTGTATTTTTATCCATCTGATGAGTTAAGCCTCTTTCAACTGATTATTTTAGTTCGTTCTTATGTTGTACTGTTACACCACTGTCCCAGGTTAGGGGAGGGTTGGGATCCCGCTAACATGTTTAACCCCGCCATATTCTGTATCTATGTGCCTGTCCCAAGTCAGGAGCCTGTAATTCAGTGGTTGTCGTTTGTTTATGTGTTACATATTTGTTTTTCGTTCATTTTTTGTACCTAAATCAGGGCGTTAGTTTTCTCGTTTGATGTTTTACATTGTCATTTCGGGGCCTTTTATAGCTGACTGTGTGGTATGGGCTTTGATCATTGTTGAAGGCCGTACGGTGACCTATAGTTGTTAATTTCTGTGTCATTTGGTCTCTTGTGGAGAGTTGTCTCATCGGAAATCATACCACATCTTCTTTTTTATATCTTGAGAGCCTCATGTTTTATATAGTTTGACTTATCACCGCAATCGTACATGTAAAGGTCCTGCAACTGGACGTGTGCCTGTGTGGAGACCGCTGCTGATTTTTCCCTTATTTCCATTAACCATGGTGATTTTGCAATTCTCTTACACTCTGACTTATGAGTCCAATTGCTCCTTGATATATATAATTGTTTGACCAAGTTTTATAAAAAAATCAAATAAAAAAGCAGCAAGTGCCATTTAATTTAAAAGTAAAGGTAAAAAAAAATTCTGACAAAAGGGTGGCTCATATTTTAGTCTAAGATACATGATTTTTTATTACTTGTGATTGGCTTTGACCTAGTTGTCAGTAATTGCGAGTACTATCAGATCTGTACTTAGTGTTCTTTTTGTTGTTAGGGATGAGGGATGGATAAATACCCTGCCACGTACGGTCTGTGTTTATGTTTAAAATTTTTCTGCTATTTATCGATCTGGTGAGTTAAGCCTTTTTCAACTGCCTTTTATAGTTTGTTCTTATGTTGTGCTGTTAACCACTGTCCTAGGTTAGGGGGAGTGTTGAGCGCTCACACACATGTTTAACCCTGCCACATTCTTTATGTGCATGTCCCAAGTCAGGAGCCTGTAATTCAGTGGTTGTCGTTGGTTTATGTCTGTCATATTTGTTTTTCATAAATTGTTTTGTTATAAATTAGGCCGTTAGTTTTCTCAATTGAACTGTTTCATATTTTTCATGTCGGGGCTTTTTATAGCCGACTATACGGTATGGGGTTTTCTCATTGTTGAAGGCGGTACGGTCAATTGCTTACATCCACTTTATTTGAACTTCGGTGGATAGTTGTCTCATTGTCAATAATACCTCATTTCCTTATTTTTATATTGAAAGCACTTGCATAGTGAACTTGTAGTTTGACAGACGCCTTCGAACACAAATGTGAGATCATTTTTTTCGGCCTTTCATCTATTACATATATGACAAACTGGATGTTAGAAGGGCTGCTTACCTTTCCGATATTAAGAGAAATATGAAAATATAATCCCTATTTCTAGATGAAGTAGTGTCTTTTAAAGAATTTTCGTTTTTAATGCTTTTTAAATTGTGATTTGTTTTGGCCTTCCACAGCTGTTTTGATTTGAGCGTCACTGATAAGTCTTATGTAGACGAAACGCGCGTCTTGGTACCAAATCATGAGCCAGGCATGTCTGATGAGTTATTAAAATTTGATATTTTGACTTTAAAATTAAAATTGAATAATTACGAGCTCAGTGTAGTATATTAGTCAATTCCGACATCATGAATAGTTTATACGGACCCTAATCGGAAGACATATTATTATATAGTTGACCGTTCTGGTCGATAGTATGTATACTTATTCATCAAAGTATTACACCTAGAATTGAAAGACAAAACTAGATTTGCACGGTGTATTGTAAACATATACACATTACTACATTCTCAATACAATACGGACTTTCAATAGAAATTGCAAATTTGTATACCACCACCGTTAGTAACGAGGGCATTAAGGTAGCAATACACAGTTAGGAAAAAAATTAACATTGACACTCATAATTTTTAACCACCCTCTTTTCCTTCCTATCTAATAAATAAGGCTTACTATTTGTGTTATGCATGTGTATATTTCTGGAAAGAGCATCTTCCATAGATTTCATTTTTAATAGTTAAAAAGGTGAAATATAATCTCTTTTTGGTGTAACCATGGCAACAATCTGCATTTATTTGTTACAAAATATTGCAAAAAAGGGGGGTGAACATGTCACAAAAGTCTCAAAATTTGGTCCGAAGGAAAATTTCAATCAATTAGAGTGATACCCTTCCTGAAACCATAGACCTATATCTATCAAGAGGTCAAAAAAAAATCATATGCATTTCTGCTTGTTTTTCCATAAAATTGAATTGAAAAGATCGAGCAACAAATCTTTGTTGAAAAACACTACAATAATTTCTAGATCCAGGGTGGTGGGGAAAGGAAAATACGGACTGTCAAACAGAAAAATGGCCTACAAAACATGCTAAAAACAATCTAAATGATCATATAAACCCACTTGGAAGGCTATATTATTCTTCAACTATCTAAAAATCAATTTTATCGTACAAAAACTTTCATATTTAAAAAATTCATCTGTGTTCTTCTAGCTAAACTGAGCAAATTGGCCTGCTAGTTTTGAAAATTGGTTCAGAAATGAATATTTTATGAAGGTTAGCAGTTGCCACTGAAATGCAACAAAAAAGAGATATGAAGAAACATGCCATGTCAAAGTGTAAATTCTACTTTTTTAGTCAAATTTCTAAAACCATACCTTCTGTGCTTGTCTTTTCTTGTTTAAAAACTTAAATTAATCTTAACAGTAGACCAGTTTTACAAATTAAAGCTATTTTAAAGCTCTAGAATGTCAATTTTGTTGTGTATTAGCATACCAAAGCCTTGGTTAAAATTTAGCAAATACTGAATTAATTTATAACAGCGGGAACAAATTTAGACTTAGTTCATGCTAAATTGTAACTTTATACTTACTAAAATAATAAATTTGATTTATTTGCATGAAAAAATATAAAGCTTTCCCTATTGAGGTTTCTACATAACGCGCATTCTTTCTTTTCCTAGGGGTAGCCAATAAAGTATCAATTTATGACCGAACCAAGTCTTTGTGTCGAAATGTCTATATTGGTTGCTAAGGACAATAAACAACAAAACTAACATATATTGTCATACTAAAAGATGTTTCTCCCTCAGAATTGTATCTATAATCTAAATATCAATAGATTTGTGGTATAATTTGTCTAAAAATAAGCAATTCTGTATTTTGTCAAATGCCATAAGGTAGCAATACACAGTTAGGAAAAAATCTTAAAATTGACACTCATAATTTTTAACCACCCTCTTTTCCTTCCTATCTAATAAATAAGGCTTACTATTTGTGTTATGCATGTGTATATTTCTGGAAAGAGCATCTTCCATAGATTTCATTTTTAATAGTTAAAAAGATGAAATATAATCTCTTTTTGGTGTAACCATGGCAACAATCTGCATTTATTTGTTACAAAATATTGCAAAAAAGGGGGGTGAACATGTCACAAAAGTCTCAAAATTTGGTCCAAAGGAAAATTTCAATCAATTAGAGTGATACCTTTCCTGAAACCATAGACCTATATCTGTCAAGAGGTCCAAAAAAAAATCATATGCATTTCTGCTTGTTTTTCCATAAAATTGAATTGAAAAGATCGAGCAACAAATCTTTGTTGAAAAACACTACAATAATTTCTAGATCTAGGGCGGTGCGGATAGGAAAATACGGACTGTCAAACAGAAAAATGGCCTATAAAACATGCTAAAAACAATCTAAATGATCATATAAACCCACTTGGAAGGCTATATTATTCTTCAACTATCTAAAAATCAATTTTATCGTACAAAAACTTTCATATTTAAAAAATTCACCATGGCCATAATGCGAAACTAAACTTCTAACTGTGTATTGCTACCTTAAGTGTTACCCTTGACCGCCCGCCCTTCCGTATGTCCTTACTCATCCAAATGTTTTCAAACTCAAACACAATGCTAAGAACCAAAACTGACGGACAAAGTTCGAATTTGGGCAGTGAGTCACTTACCGTTCTAGAGTTATGCCCTTTATAACTTTAAGATGTGGTGCACATTTTAAATATATATATATACAAACAATTTCAGAGTTGCAGGATCTTTATCAAAAACGTTAAGAGGAGTTCATAACACAAAACAGATAACATGCTCTCACCGCCCACACACCCGACATTCACCAAACCTTAACCAGGTTTGCATTTCATGCAACCCGGACTATAACAAAACAAGATAGATGCAGTGAAAGGATACTTATCAAAGATATATAGGAACCAATAGTTAATATATTCAGTCGCATTGATTCTGTCAATTGATAAGAACAAATAAGTTGGTTCGCAAGTAAGATAGTTTGCCAACTTGGTTTGGTGTTTTTATGAGGTTGCATGTAAGATAACGCAAAAAAGCAGAGAACTAGATTTAATGACAGCTAACAATCGTAGTCTTATTGCCCATCAAAAGTAAACAGAAACAAATTATGGAAGTCCAGTTTTAATCATAAAAATCGCAATAATAAAATAATTAAAACGCCTTTCAGAATATTTGCAAAAACAAATAGCCAGTACCTGATTATGATAGAACTCTCACAATTATCTTCAAGATCATTTAAAAGGGGTTCCCGTTCTTTCAAAATCATAAATATTAAATTTATATAAATATTCCGCTTTTGCAAACATTGTGAATACGTTTCTGAGTAACAATTTTTGAAAGGCTTTGGAAAGAGTAATGTATAGAACGAATCTTAATTCTACCATTCATTTTATGAAAAACAAAATATGTTGTTTTTATTCTGTATATCAATGATTTTTTTATCAATCTGCCTTTTGAATGTGTCAATTGATAAGATCTTTCACGCTACAATTGCAATACTTACCAGCCATTACTTATTCTTTCACGATCATATCATATGTGTCCATATGCCGAATGACGGCCATGATAGTATAAAGTTTCACCGTAATAGCAATTATCATCGCCAGAATTGTATAACCAATACTATACCTTTTACTTACAGGTTAATACAGTGAATACCAATGACACAAGGGAGACCCACTGTCCTTGCGATTATATTCCACAACATGACAATGTTGCAGTTAGATGCAGACCACCAATATTACAGTAAAGTTTGAACAATTTGGTTTTAACGTCTATTTGTGTAGCCTAACATGGAAAGATTTCTGTAGAATTCAATGCTATTTTGGTTCTGGTTGAGATTAAAAATTTACGATTAAATAATGATAAACATAGTATTTATCTTCATACTATTAACTATAACTACTCTATTTGTCAAAAATACGACATCTATACAGTGTCAGTTTGAAAGACGATGTCTTTGTTTTATTAAAGCGGGGTTGCAACACGTTAACTGTTCATATATCAATGCAACATCTGTCCCGAGTCTGCCATCGAATGTAAATGTCCTGAACCTTAGGTACAATCGGATAATTTTATTATCAAATGATAGTTTTCAAAATCTTTTCCACCTGCTAGAATTGGATTTATCATGGAATAAACTGGAGCGATTGGAACTTGGATCATTTACTGGACTTGCAAATTTACAGAAGCTTACACTAGAACACAACAACTTATCATTAAAATGGAAATCATTTCCTTCAGGAGTTTTTACACCTTTGAAGTCATTAAAGCATTTGAATGCAAAGTATAACGATAGGAACGGATTTTTGGCTTGTAAAAATGTCGTCACAAACCTGAAACAACTGGAAATTATTGAAATAGATATTGATGAGTCACCAGATTGCCCAAATATAGATTATGGGTTTTCCAAATTAACTAATCTGAAATCATTTGGAACAGGCTACTGTGAGTTAGTGATTTTGTCTCCAGCAACGTTTGAGAACATGATAAATTTACAATTTATTGATATATCTTGGTGTGATATAATTGATGTTTTTGGCCACAGTCTACAAGACCAAAAGCAGTTGAAAGTACTTAATATTTCACATATTAATTTCGAAATATATGATATATTTTCAATTGTAGCAAATTTCCGATCTACACCGATTCAGAAACTGGTCATGACTCATACATTAAGAGAAGCAGTTAGTTTGCCATGGAATTTTTTTCAATATTTTAAAAAATCTGGTATAAAAGAATTACAAATGGGATACAACAGTTTTGTTAATGTTATAGGGAAATATTCTCTACCACCAACGCTCGAGATTTTAGATGTATCATACAGCAATTTGAACAAATTTCAGTTCGATATGCCAAATTTAATGCAACTGAAATTACAAAATAATGGTCTTGGTAAATTTCTTACTTCAAATAGATATTCGAAGAATAAAACAGAACATCTTGAATATATAGATTTATCATTTAATGAAATTCAACGCCTAAGTTTTTCCATATTTCATGATCATCCGAAGCTTAAAGCGATAAACCTTAGTCACAATATATTATCGGACATCTCGTTTGATATATCCACACTACCAACATTGGAAATATTAAACCTTTCATACAACAATATACAAGCGTTCTCCAAAGAATCGATGAAAGCCATCTCAAACATTGTAAGAAGTTCTGGTCTCATAGTTGATCTTTCCAACAATAACGTACAGTGTAATTGCAATACGCTCCCTTTTATTCAGTGGATGCTTGAAAATCATCGTATCTTTATTGGCATACAAACATACAGATGTAATTGGATGAATGATTCTGAAATAACGATATATCCATTTAGACCAACTGTGTTGCAGCTTGAAAAGGAATGTGCATCATATACTGTTTTAATTGCCTGTATAACATCCGGCATATCTTTGGCCTGTGTTGTTCTGATCGGTGGATTAGCATATCGATATCGATGGAGACTGCGATACATATATCATATGACCAGAAGTAAATACAAGCGATATAGGCCGATTCTAGACAATGGTCACTATACATTCGATGCTTTCATTTCCTATTCCGACGAAGAAAGGGATTTCATATTTAAAAACATTATTCCAAACCTCGAACGAAAGGAGAGTCTTAACTTATGCATTCATCAAAGAGACTTCCTCCCGGGAGAAGACATTACACAAAATATTACTAATGCAATACACGAAAGTAGAAAAACTGTTTGCATAATTACAAGATCCTTTCTTGATTCGTATTATTGTATGTTTGAATTTAATATGGCCAGAATGGAGAGCATTTATTCAAGAGGAGGTCAAAATATTTTATTTCTCGTGTTTCTTGAACAGATTCGTCCAAGTGAATTTCCTTTGGTAATGTTAGAACTAGTTCAAAAACAATCTTACATTGAATATCCTAACGATGAACAAGGCGATGTTGTCTTTTGGGACAAAATCAAGGAAACTTTAATAACATAATCAGTAACATATCAATAGGAATATTCTCTTATTGGACATTTAGCATGTTTAATGTTAGCCGCGATTGATTTGTCCGCCGCTTCATAGTACAAACATCAGTATGGTTATTTGATATTTAGTTTTGTATTTGTGTACGTAAGTATAGTTGACTGTTTTCTTACATGCATAAACAATCAAAGAGCGTTGATGTTTTTCAAGCAAACTTTGGTGTTGACGTTTTTTCCGTTTTTTGTTCGCCATATAGACTTTTTGTGCCAGTCCGACTCAACCAATCAATCAATCAATCAATCAATCAATCAATCAATCAACCAATCAACGAATCAATCGAATCAATCAATCAACCAATCAATCAATCAATCAATCAATAATTGAGTTATCAAATGGGATGCCTTTCTAAAAAAAATTGCATAAATATTAAATTTGTACTGAAATAATAAACATGACTATGTACCCATTTATTTTCTTCCATTTATCCTTTTTGAATGGAGTTGAAAATAAGTAGAAGACAGAGAACAATTTTAATCTCATTTGTTCACGTTAAGACAGACAGTTTGAGGGAAAACATAGGTGACCACATGATTTTATGGAGAAAGTGTACCAGATTCGTGGGGTAGTGTAGGTATCTCTTCATATGCATGTATCACATGTCACGATGATCCAAAACCGTTGCTTGTATTAATTTAAGATTGACCACAGTAATTATCGAGTAATTTGCAATGAGAAAAAACACATTATCAGGAAAGTGGGTCATTTTAAGGATACCTTTCCGGTACCTTTTAAAAATGGCACCAAACGTTATTTGGAACACATTAAGTATGCTCTATAATCGCAATACTTCCAGCTTAACCATTGTTGGTTTTATGTTTCACTGACCGGTACTTTGAGGAACAAAATTTATAATAGATATGAGTTATCTAATTGTATATAAATGAATTAAATACAGATGCACTATGTTCTCGAAAACTGATCTTTTATGCATATGAGTAAACATCTGCCCAATTAAGAAATGAATAATTTAACGTTGCGATTTTTTCTCGATGTCTTTTTTAGAGTTTTCATTTCACGGCACAATCTTGATAATATGATTAAAATTTTAGCGCCTGGATCGATATAGAAATAAGTAACGATTCCGCAATTTATTGCTATTTGAGTTAAGTCAACAATCTTAGATAAGGAAATTAAAATTCCTACATGTATTTCCACGTATAAAGGAAGAAGACTGCAACAACGGATATTTATTCAAATGAAAATATAAGTTGATCCAAGTCGTATAACATTTTTTTCAACATACATTATGAATACATTATATTTATTAGAATTTAAAGAATAAATTATGCAAGCATAATTTTCAGTTTAATTTGCAGTTAAAGCTTTCTTATTCATTACATAATAGAATTTTTCGAAATCAGTGTTGGAAATGCCGTTTTGAGCATATGATTATTAAAAAAAATCAAAGATACCAGTCTGATTTACCTCTGGATTTAACTTGACTAAAGCAACATGACGCGTACCACTTGTAGAATAGGAACTCTTAGTTCACCACTGTTTATATGGTGTTCGTGCTACTCAATCATTAATGGTCTTTTTATTGTTTGTTTTAACGCTGCTTCGTTTCTTCCCAAAAACCAATGGCTTCTGACCTTCTCTGAATTATGCTTAATATTGCCTTTTGGTATTGTCAGCAATATTTAACAGGTTAACAATAAAAAAGTTGAATGAAAAAGCTTATAATAGTGTTGGTAATATTTAAGATAAAGGTAAAAAACGACATGGCCACTTTGCATAAACAAACTTCAATAATTCTGGCGTGTGTATGCTTGCAAGTACTTTCAAGGAAATGTTAAAATATCATAAGCCAGATGGTCGTAGACGTTAACAAGTACAATTCCGAATAATATGGATATTAATTACTATATCCCCTATTCCCTGTTAACAAAAATGTCATTTCCGAAATGCAATGCATTTTATTTCATAATGTATAATTCCTATTTCCCTGTGAATTGACTAAATTCCGACGTCTATACAAAGAGGGCCTTGACCACACATTCTTTCCACAACAAACATGACAAGGAAGTATAAAAATATCTCACAAAAACGAAAAAAAATAAAAATAAATCACGAACTAACGTATTCATAGATTAATACTTGCTACCCAATAATCGTAATACCTCCAGCCTAACATATGTTGGTTTTATGTTTCACTCCCTGGTACTCGGAGTAACTTACTTTAAGACATAAATAACTTGATAGTATATCTAACTCTACTGAGATATAAGTAATTTAATAATATATACATGAAGTAAATAAAGATGCACTTCGTTCTCGACAATTGGTACATTGAAATGGTGGTCTTTTAAGCATATGATTTAACATATGCCCAATTAAAAAAAAAATAATTTAACGTTGCAGAAACTGTTTCTTCTCTATGTCTTTTTTAGAATTTTCAATTTATGGTGCAGTCTTGATGGTTACAAGGAAGTAAATAAGGATGATAGGCGCCACCTAGTTTTTATGTTAAAATGAAGTAATTATTTTCATAGGCGACTATGGTAGCCTTTTTGGATCCTGCGATTTTACCATAAAAAACCGTTGATAAAACTGTCAAATTCTGAATTATCAACACCTTTAGGTGTGAATAAAACTGCAAAGCACATATGGTGCCGCAGCTCTATTGATAGAAAAATGGCATTTTAAACGATATTCTATGGTTCCGGAATTTTCGAAATAGTATAAATGAGGAACACGTACCCCTTGCTTAATTTTGCACATACAATGTTGCTCGTCACAGAGAGTGTCCACCAAATTTCACTCGCTATTTCTACACCAAAAGCCAACACTCATTTCTCACTACTTCAATTTTGTTTTCTAATTAACATGACACCAGAAAGTAAATGTACCTCTACCTTTTAACTTGGATGTAAAAACTAGGTGGCGCCAGTCATATTTAATTACTTTCTTTTAATCTATACTGACATTTACTGAAATAAAATCGGACAACCCTTGCATTAGTCGATTACTATATACCCTCCTGCTTACTATCATTTTTTGTGGATTAAAGATATAATTGTTTACCGTCTTAAATGAATTTCTTTACAAGTAACCCCATTTGCAGAAAACGTGACTTTTTCAATTCAGGGGACATTAATCAGCATATTTTGACTGTTTGGTTGTGTTTAAAACAAGATGTTGAGTAATTAGGTTAGATGTAGGCCTACCAAAGACTCGAAACTGATGATTTGATATATGTGTTCAATCTATACGTTTTTGTCACGAATATATGAAAACAGCTGCATGAGCGAAACAAAATTTTATGAAATAGACTAAAAAATGCTGAAATTCCTTTAACCATTGTTTTTTATGTGAACCGTGTACAGAATATTCAATTCGACGGGACTAAGAAGAAAATGTACAGCTTTTAAATGTTTACCAAATTTTAATATTTTAGGGGCACTTTGGCAACATTTTAGCAATTAGAAATACAAAAATTTCGTTTAACGTCATCAAAAATATGCCCCCTGTTTTAGATATGCATAAATACATACAATGTTATCAAAGATGAGTTAAAATGATTGAAAACAGAGTCCTTGATAGAATTCTCGTTCTTACAGTGGGTTAATGAATCCTACCCCTTAAACAGAAGAAGAATAAAAAAAAACAGTAAAAATTTGATATAGATTATAGGTTCATGCTGATCAGTAATTTTCTTCTGATATGTTTATTACCTAATATCTTATTAATTTGTCTACCCCATTTCTAAAATATCTTGAAAAATACAATGATGCGCCAGAAATCGATATTTAGCTTTAGGTTAAAATGAAGTAATTATTTACATAGGCGACAATGGTAGGCTTTTTTGGGTCCTGCGTTTTTATTATAAAAAATCCGTTGACAAAACTGTCAAATTCTGAATTATCAACACTTTTGGGCGTGAATAAATTTGCAAAACACATATGGTGCCGCAACTTTTTTGGTAGAAAAATGGCATTTTTAAGGATACTCTATGGTTCCGGAATTTTCGAAATAGTATGAATAAATAACACCCCTTGTTTAATTTTGCACAGACAATGTTGCTCGTCTCAGAGAGTTTCCTCCAAATTTCTCTCGCTATGACTACACAAAAAGCCAACACTCATTTCTCACTACTTCAATTTTGTTTTCTAATTAACATGGCAGCAGAAAATAAATTTACTACTACCTATTAACTTGGATGTAAAAAACTAAATGGCGACAGTTATCTTTAATTACTTCCTTTAAATAGCGAGACATTTAGAGGAAACTCTTTATGATGAGCAAAATATTCTGTGCAAAATTAAGCAAGGGGTGTTTTTCATTCATACCATACTATTTTGAAAATTCATGAACCAAAGAGTTCCCTAATAAAGCAATTTTTCAATCAAAAAAGCTGCGGCACCATTTTGGTTTGCAGTCTTATTTACATCCAAAGTTGTCGACAATTCCGAATATGACAGTTTTTTTCAACGAGTTTGTTTATAGTGAAATCCCAGAGCCCCAAAAGGGTACCATTGTCGCCTATGTAATTTAACAATTACTTCATTGTAATAATCGACTGGATCGATATAGAAATAAATAAAGATTTCCGCAATTTATTGCTATTTGAAAAAAAAAAAAAAAAAAAAAAAAAACAATTTAAGATAAGGAAACAAATTAAAACTCTTGCAAGTATTTCCACGTATAAAAGAAGTAGACTTCAACAACGGATATTTATTTCAAAAATAAGTAAGCTGATCTAAGTCATTAAAAAATTTTTCAGCATACATTATGAATACATTAAAGAACATTTTTTGTAATATCAATTTAAAAAAAAAAACATTATGCAAGTATAATTTTCCGTTGAATTTTCAGTTAAAACTTTCTTGTTCATAATATAAATAAATTAATATGTTTAAATAAGTCCTCGAAATCAATGTTAGAAATGCAATTTTTAACATAAGACTTAAAAAATTTCAGAGATACCAGTTTAAAAAAAATTTAAAACATGAATTCTATGCGTCCGAAGCGCTTTTCTGGATTTACCTTGATCAGGAACGCTCAAAGCCGAAAATTTGGAAGTCAAGGATGTTTAAGGACCGAAAAGCTGAAGAGCTATAAAACAAAAAGGACCTAATAAAATAGCCAAATCCGTCTAAGGCCAACTTTGCCTGAGGGAGCTGAAACCTTAGTTTCTGTATAATTTCAAAATTTTTAAACGGGCATTTTTAGATAGTTTGTTATAAATCATGTCAGTACCGAAGTACTGACTACTGAGCTGATGATATTCTCGGGGACTGATAGTCCACCAGCAGAGGTATTTACCTTCATC